GTACCATAAAATTATATCTCAATGGAAAGATAATTTAATCAAGAATGTAATGCAATAACTTTTATGAAGGATTTGCTATTAGAATAGCAGTTACAGTATAAAGAAGAGAAGTTAAACACGGAGAAAAAATGAGATATACAAAAATTATCACCATGTCAGTTGATACTGTTGGGTAACCTTTAGCATGAATTATGGCCTTACAACCAGGGGTGAAATCCAGCAGGTTCTGACAGGTTCTGGAGAACCGGTAGTGGAAATTTTGAGTAGTTCAGAGAACTGGCAAATACCACCTCTGGCTAGTCCCAGAGTGGGTTGGGAATGGAGATTTTTGCAATATCCTTCCCCTGGAGTGGGGTGGGAATGGAGATTTTGCAGTATCCTTCCCCTGCCACGCCCAAGCCACGCCCACCAAGCCACACCATGCCCATCAAGCCACACCCACATAACTGGTAGTAAAAAAATTTGGATTTCACCACTGCTTACAACATCTTCCCATGAAGTGAACCAAGTTTTTTTAGTTCTGCAGCTGTTATCATGTGAAACCAAGATTGAAGGATTGCTTCTATTAACTGGGTTTTATTGCTGGGTCACTTCCGACTAACAAGTTTCTTGAGTCGCCTCCATAGATTTTCAATTGGGTTAAGGTCTGGGCTCTTCCCAGGCCATTCCAGCAGTGGAATAGGATTCTCTTGAAACTCCAAAAATAAAAATAAAAGTGGTGTTATTAGCCATCAAACCTCAAAAATACACTTTCCCCAAAAGGTTTCCACAATTTTGGCCACTACTGTATACTCTACCGTCCTTGTTCAGGTTAAGGTTGAAAGCAGGAGTGAAATTCAGCAGGTTCTGGAGAACTGGTAGCGGAAATTTTGAGTAGTTTGGCGAACTGGCAAATACCACTTTTGGCTGGCCCCAGAGTGGGGTGGGAATGGAGATTTTGCAATATCATTCCCCAGCAGTGGGGAGGGAATGGAGATTTTGCAGTATTCTTCCCCTGCCACGCCCACCAAGCCACACCATGCCCACCAAGCCACGCCCATAGAGTAAAAAAAAATTGGATTTCACCACTGGTTGAAACCCACAACAGAACAGGTTGTGTAATGTGTGATGTTTGGTTCGGCGGGTAGCATATTGTGCAAAACCCAGCCCCAGAGCTTCAAGCTGAAAAAAAGAGCAGCCGCTGAAGTCTACAAATTCCCAACTTGTGAGTCTTGAGGATTTGTGTTATTTACTCCGGAACATTCTGTTTCCCACAGCAGCGTTCTGAAAAGACATATAAGGAAAAGGAAATGGGGAGGGAAGAGGAAAAAACATACTTCAAAGTCTAAAAAAAGATGCAATCTTTTTTACGCTGGGGAAGGGAAGACAATCTGAGTCTCTTGATGGAATTTCTGGCGGGAGAGAGCGTCCTTCGCAGCGCTGGCCTTCCTTCCCGCTGCTGATGGACCCACAGAAGAAGCTCCCCACCCCGTGGCATTTATCACACCCGCCACATGGTTTGTTTTTCTCGCCCAGGACCCGTTGAGAGCATCGGTGGATATCGGAAACAGCAGCCCATTACTCACTCGAAGAAGGCAGGAAAGCCGAAATAACCGCAAAAGCCACGGAAATCCATCAAGCTCAGAAGGATCGTCCTTCACCCAGATGCTGAGATACAGGAGAACCGAAGTTGGTGGACTGTGTGAATGGAAGTAGTAGTGACTCTGGGTTTACGCTGTGGCCCTGCCTGAACCAAAGGGCCACCCATACAGTCCTAAGAACAAGAGTCCCACTCTACTGGATTCAGCTAAGGCTGAATCTCAAGTCTTTCATGGTGGCCAACCAGAAGCTTCTGAGATGCCCACAAGCAAGGAGATGAAGAATGTCCTCTCTCTCCCATCACTGTTACACCACAGTTTGTTCCCAACACAGAGGTAGCATGGGGTCTTCCACATTAATACCCCTGAATAAGCCACGCCCACCCTATACAGGCAGTCCCCAACTTACAACAGCTCGTTTAGCGACCGTTTGAAGTTATAACGGCACTGAAAAACAGGGACTTAGCCCCATTTTTCACAACTTACAACCATGACAGTGATCCACATTCAGATGCTCGGCAACCGACTCGTAGTTATGACGGTTGCAACGTCCCTGGGGTCACACGATCTCATTGCGACTTTCTCACCAGCAAAGTCAATGGGGAAGCTAGCTTCCCTTCACAGTCCTGTTACTAACTTCACCACTGCAGCGATTCAACTTAGCAACGGCGACAAGAAAGGTCGTAAAACGGGGCAAAACTCACCTCGGCAACGCCTCGCTCAGCGACAGAAATGTTGGGCTGAAAATCTGTGATCGTTATGTCAAGGACCACCTGTACCATTTTAGGCGGGGAGTGTGTGTCTGTCCTAGTTTCGAACCGTGGGGCAAAACTCACCTAACCAATGTCTCGCTTAGTAACGGAAATTTTGGGGTGGTCGTAAATCGAGGACCGACTGTGTTTATCCAAGCCCCGATACCTTTCCTAGCATACATTTACCTGTCTTCAGAAGACGGGACAAGGGAGGATCTCCTGCTTCATGGACTGCACCGGGTGGCAGCTAGAGATCCCAATTCAAATTCCCAGCTCTCAGTGAGCGCCTGAAGGCCCTTGCTCCCCACTCCTTCAGCCCCACCTTCCTCACAGGGCAACAGTGAGGTGGATGCTACTGAAAACACTTAATCTCTCCCCTGGCTCAAGCTGATGAAGGAAGGAGAACTTGTGGCTCAGAGGTTAATACAACTGCCTAACAGGCTGAACTGTCCAAATTCAAATCCAAGTAAGGGTATGGCTAGCTGATGAGAGCTAAATAGCTTGAAATAGATCTATAGTAGTCTCTCTTTATTTCTTTATCAGCAAAATATAAATTTGGTGTAATATATACATATGTATATATGCAAAAAATTAAAATCTCGGGTGTTTTCCCGCGTCACGTTAAATAAGTTAGTTAAAATGTTTAAAATTCTGGTTAAAATCCTAGCTTAAAATCTTCTAAAAATCCTTACAGAGCACTCGGCAAGGTCCTTTAAAACCTCAGCTAAAATCCTACCAGTACCTTAAAACTTTTTCTTTATAGCAACGTTTGCTATAAATATATACACATGTAAAATTGGAACGGTTATCATCAGTATTATATTATTATAATAATATCATTATTATGCCATTATTAGAGTTGTTAAAATCTATGAGAAGGCAAATATTGGATAGTGAATTACAAAAGCAGAATCTACCTGCGGAAATCTGTAAAATCGTATTATTCTGCTGTGTTCTTTGTTTTTTCTATTTGTTTGTATTGGTCTTATTATTTTTTGTTTTTCCTTTCCCTCCCCCCCCCTTTTTTTTTACTTGTGGTTTTTAAAGTTGAAAAATCTTCAATAAAAACCTATTTTTTTAAAAAGAAAAGAAAAGGAGACCACATCCGCACCTATATATGTGTCCCTCAAAGGGAAGTCGAAGGTGGCATGTGACTAACAGGAAGTGCATGGGTCAACCAATCTTTCTCCTGTTTTCTTAATGGGTTTGCGAGTCTGATGAGCCTGCTCTTGTTTCTCTCCCGGGGTGGAGGACACTTACAGAGTCATAACACGTTGGTACAAGGCACCTAGAAACTGGGAGATGGTAAGTTCTAGTCCCGTCTTTGGCACGAAAGCCGGCTGGGTGATTTTGGGCCAATCACCAAAAGACCGTGAGTTCTAGTCCTAACCTTTAGTCTAGTTTATTCCAGGCCTAGAGATGGAGCTGTTGCCTCACAATCAGGAGGTTGGGAGTTTGATCCTAAGTAGAGGCAGATGTAGGGTTTCCTGCTTGGGCACGGGGTTGACCCGATGACTTGCAAAGGTCCCTTCCAACTCTGTTAAATCTGTTAGAAGCAGACAGTACCTTCACGCTACACCAAGCCTGCTTGGGACACCCAGCTAAAAACGAGGAGATTGGAGAGTTCTAGTCCTCCCTTAGGCAGGTAGATCTTGGCTCAGTCCCTCTTGCTCAGCCTTGAGAAGAAGGAGGAGGAGGAGGAGGAGGAGGAGGAGGTGGAGAAGGAGAAGGAGAAGGAGAAGGAGAAGGAGAAGGAGAAGGAGAAGGATGGAGGAGAGAGGAGGAAGGAAGAGGAGAGAGTGAGGAGAGAGAAGAGAGGAGGAGGATGAGAGGAGAGAGGGAGGAGGGAGAGGGGAAGGAGGAAGAGGAGAGGAGATGAGGAGAAGGAGAAGGAGAAGGAGAAGGAGAAGGAGAAGGAGAAGGAGAAGAAGAGGAGGAGGAGGAGGAGGAGGAGGAGGAGGAAGGGAAGGGGAAGAGGAGGTGGAGGAGGAGAAGAAGAGGAGGAGGACGAGGGGAAGAGGAAGAAGGAGAAGAAGAGGAGGAGGAGGGGAAGGGGAAGAGGAGGAGAAGAAGGAGAAGAAGAGGAAGAGGAGGAGGAGGGGAAGAAGAAGAGGAGGAGGAGGAGGGGGGAAGAGGAAGAAGAAGAAGAAGAAGAGGGGGAGGAGGAGAAGAAGGAAAAGGGGAAGAGGAGGAGAAGGAGAAGAGGAGGAGGAGGAAGAGGAAGGGAAGGGGAAAAGGAGGAGGAGGAGGAGAAGAAGAGGGGGAGGAGGAGAAGAAGGAGAAGGGGAAGAGGAAGAGGAGGAGGAGAAGAAGAGGGGGAGGAGGAGAAGAAGGAGAAGGGGAAGAGGAAGAGGAGAAGAGGAAGAGGAGGAGGAGGAGGGGAAGAAGAAGAAGAAGAAGAAGAGGAGGAGGAGGAGGAGGGCCATCTCCTTCCAAGAAGGGCCATTAAACCCAGCCCCCTCCCCGCTTGCCGGGAGAAAGTCCCTGAAGCCCCTTCGAGGGGGGGGTGGGGGGTGGGGGGAGAGGAGAGGAGGGAAGAAGCGAAGCCCGGAGTTGCAGCGGCCGCCACCGCATCCCCGGAGCGCATCCCCGGAGCGCAGCAGGCGAGGGCTTGGAGCCTCCGGCGCGCCCGGGCATCGCAGCGCAGGGGGAGCGGCGGGCGGCGCTTGCGGTGGCTGGGAGAGACCCCCGGGCCGGGCCGGATCGGGCCGGGCTTCTCGCGAGAGAGGCGGCGCAGCCCCAGCCGGAGGAGGAGCCGCGGCCGGGGCTGGCCGGAGAAAGCCAGCGGGACAAACGCGCGGCCGGAGCGCGATCCAGGCAGCGGGGCCGGGCGGAGGTGAGCGGGGATGCCGGGCGCAGGTGGGCAGGGGCTCGGCCGGCGGGCGGGGAGGACCGGCGGCTCCTTCTTCCTCCGCGCCCACCTGGGCGCATCTTTGCAAAGCGCATCGCGCCCTCCTTGCCTTTCGCCTTTCGCCTTGCGCTCGCCTCTTCCCCCTTGGATTCCCTCTCCTGGATCCAGCGCACTTTGGCTGGATCGGAAGCCATAGCCGCGTTGCTGTGGGATTTCCCCCCCATGTCGCAGCCGGGCGGAGGGCATCCCGGCCGGCGAGAGATGCGCCAAAAGGGCTTCCGCGGGCGGCAGCTTGGAGATCCCCCTGCCTCCCTTCGCCATCCTCGCAGAGGCTTTTTCTTCCCCCTGCGCAGGAGCGGCTGCTGGCGGATGCCACCCTCCTCACCAGGCCTGGGTGGTGGCCCCCTGGATCTGGGGAGGGGATGGCTGCATCCCTCCTGGGTGGGGGTGGGATGAGGACAGGTGTGTCAACATCTCATCCAACCGAAGGTGCACCTTCCATGCTTGATGGACGCATCGTCGTGGTGCGAGCCGGGTGGCATCATGACACCCAGCTGTGTGAGGTGGTTGTGTCTTCGTGGTACAAAGCTAGCTTGTGAGAAAATGCAGGAGGAGGGGGCAAGCTTTGGTTTTTCTTTCCCCTTGCTGGTGAAAACATGACCCTGGTTAGGATTGGACTGGCCGGAGAATAGGGCCATCTAAGTTTGCTTGCAGCCTTGCACCCTGGGCGTGCCACGTATTGCTGAATTAAGGTCTAAAGCTCCAAATTATGGTTTATCAACTTGGTTGGCCAGCTGGCTCCCCACATGGTGCTACCCTGAAGCACATGATGGCTTAATATTATGGGTTTGCCTCACTGTCTTTTCCAGACCATGGAGACCGGATTTTGTTGTGGGAAATGAAAGGTCCAACTGGAGTGCCAAGATTGGATAATAGGAATTCTGGAAGTCCAGAGGTCTTAAAATTGACCAGGTTGGACATCCCTGAGTTAAACCAGCTGGATCTCTGGCTGAGAATGCTGAATTCTCAGTCTTGGGCTTCTGGTGGTGTGCATAAATCTTTCCGGAAATGAAAAGGAGGAAGTCTAGAGCTTATTCTAGCCCTTCCTCCTGCAGAAATGGGACACACAATGCAGCTGTAATGCTCCATGCTCCTTTGGTGGGGCTGAAGTTGCTTCATTGCAGTTCCTGTCATCTTTGTACACGGGGGTTTGTGAGAATGATCAAGCATAAATAGCTGTAGGTGCCTGGATATCTTCACCCTGTCTTTGAAGACTTCAGGTGATGTTCTGAGTGGCTTGGGTCTTCAGCGCTCAGGATACTAGGAGTAGCGTCCTGGAGAACAGCAATTTGGAGGAAAGCTACGAAGTGGCCCCTTAGCTCAGCGTGGATCCCTTAGCTCAAGGTGTCCAACCTTGGCAACTTTTAAGACCTGTGGACTTCGATTCCCAGAATTCCTCAGCCAAACTTTGGAAATAAGATCTGCAATTTGGAACATTGATAAGGTTAGGGTTTAGAGAGCCGCTTTGGTCTAGTGGTTAAGGCACCAGGCTAGAAACCGGGAGACGGCGAGTTCTAGTCCCGCGTTAGCCATGAAAGCCAGCTGGGTGACTTTGGGCCAATCACCAAGTGACGGTGAGTTCTAGTCCTGCTTTAGCCATGAAAGCCAGCTGGGTGACTTTGGGCCAATCACCAGGAGACGGCGAGTTCTAGTCCCACGTTAGCCATGAAAGCCAGCTGGGTGACTTTGGGCCAATCACCAGGAGACGGTGAGTTCTAGTCCTGCTTTAGCCATGAAAGCCAGCTGGGTGACTTTGAGCCAATCACCAGGAGACGGTTTTGAGTTCTAGTCCTATCTAGAATGAAAGCCAGCTGGGTGATCTTAGGCCACTCACGCTTTCTCCATCCAACCCTCTTCACAGGGTTGTCGTAGGGACAATAGGAGGAGGAAGGAGCATTAGATATGTTCGTTACCTTGAGTTACTTATAAAAATAATAAAGGCGGGATACAGGTAAATAAATAGAGTTGGGGAACAACATCTCCATCATGATGTCATTCAGTTGCTAGCATGGACACGTCATAGTGATTTGTGTCAGTCATCTTAGTGAACAAGTTGAAGAGGGATGCTAAGATATAAGAAGGCAGGCTAAACTGCATCCATAGAACTGAGTCCTGGGTTTCGGTGTTTTTTACACCTTTGGCAAATTTCTGCTCCAGTTTTTCCCTCCGCCCCATCCAACTGACATCACTAAGTGCAAATGCCCTTTGCAGACCTGTGATGTGTTTCCAGCTTCTCCGGGGAATGAATGAGAAAGCTCCTACTCTTCTCCCCGTGGCTTTCCGTGAAGCAAACGCTTTTTGGTTCACTTGAGTTTGTCCAGAATACCAAATAATTGGTTGCTTTGCTTTGCTTGTTGACAAAAATCCCCGCAGTCCTCCTCAAATTCTATTTTTAATGTGCAACCACTTATGAGTCACCTCAGGTTGGCCCAAGCCTTCTGGGTTGATGGAATCCAGTTTCTAGCCAAGGAAAGGGAGATTGCTTTGGTCAAAAGTAGCCTGTTGATTATTTCTGTGGATATCTTGAATGGGCCCCTGTTCATCCTGCAGTAGAACACAGGACATCATCAGAGTTGGAGGGGGCCTTGGAGGTCTTCTTGTCCAACCCCCTGCTCAAACAGGAGACTCTATACCATTACAGAGAATCTCCAGTATCCAATCTCCAGGGATGGAGCACCCACAACTTCTGAAGGCAAGTTGTCCCACTGATTAATTGTTCTCACTGTCGGGAAATTTCTCCTTAGTTCTAGATTGGATCTCTCTTTGATCAGCTTCCACCTCTTTCTTCTGGTCCTGCCTTCAGATGCTTTGGAGAACAGAACAGAACAAAATCACAGAGTTGGAAGGAACCTTGGAAGTCTTCTACTCCGATTCCCTGCTCAAGCAGAAGACCGTATACCATTTCAGACAAATCAATCTTTGCTTAAAAACTTCCAGTGTTGGAGCATTCACAACTTCTGGAGGCATCTTCTGTTCCACTGATTAATTGTTCTCACTAATCAGGAAATTTCTCCTTAGTTCTAGTTTGCTTCTCCCCTTCATTCATTTCCATCCATCGCTTCTTGCCTTGCCTTCTGGTGCTTTGGTAAAATAAGTGGGCTCGTTTTGGTTCCCTGAAGGTTCACCCTCTGCGCAATGCACATTGAACCTATCGTTGGCCTGAAGGCCGTAGAAACTTCATTGTTCTAAAAACAAGCCCACAGTCGGATGCTAAATTTGGCACTTGGCTCCTTTCTCTGCTTGAGCCAGGAAGGGCGTCGTGACCCGTGACTTCGCATGCTTTCAGTAACTGTGCAAGGAAGAGACCCCTCCAAAATCTTGGGTCTGCGAAACTTCAGACGTCTTCATGTGTTGTTGATTTTAAAAGTCAGAGCGAAATCCAGAGATGCAATCAGGGCGGACTCCTTCCCAAAGCGAACGCTCAATTTTCCACGTTTGTTTACATGTTTTCCCCTCGCATCTCATCCCGAAAAGAGCGTTTCCTGCGTCTGCTTTGCTTCCTGTCAAATTCCACAGATGGAATTTCGCAGGAACCCAACCCGCTGGAGAAGCTGCAAGATACACCCTTCTTGCTTATTTCCAGAAGGCATTCCCGATTATTCTGATATACCGTATTTTTCGAAGTATACGACGCACCGGTGTCAGGGGTGAAATGCTACCGGTTCGTACCGGTTCAGGCGAACTGTTAGTAAAAGAATGCTACTGGTTCATACGAACCGGAAATTCTGCTTTCTTGCAAATCCGTGGCACAACTGTTCCCCCCTCGCTGTTCTACTTATCTTCTTCAGCCTCCTTTTTCCGTGCTGCGTGGTAGCGCATGCGGTGTGCATGCGTGTGAAGCACATGTATGGCATGCACTGTGCATGTGTGTATGCACAGTGCATGTTTGCGCAGAAAACCTGTGGCAGACCTTGGAGGATTTCACCACTGACGCACCATAGTTTTTGGGGAGGAAAATAGGGGAAAAAAATTCTGCCTACCAGGTATTCATCTGGCTAGCGTCCTTAGCCTGGTCTGCTTCAGCACATTAGTTCACTTGCTGGTTTTGAGGTTGGGGCTAAAAAAAATAGCTTCTAAAGCACAGCTGATTGTCAGAGGGAGCAGCAATTAGAAAAGCAGGCAAAGCACGGAATATCGCTTCGCTCGCAAGCACCGCATTGGGGCTGAAAAACAGCTTCAAAAGCACAGCTGATCGTCGGAGGGAGCTCCAGTGACTAAAGCAGGTGAAGCACGGAAGGGGTAAGAGAAGGCAGCAGCTGTTCCTGGTAGCCATTTTGGGCACTGTGCATCACGTTTTCAGCCTTCAAACATACCACATTTTTGGGTGGCGATCTATGGTGATGTCCTTTGGGGATCCTTGCAGCCTCGAAGGGCTCTCAAACGGAGCGTTTGGAGGCTGGAAACACGAAGCGCGGAGCCCAAAAACACAAGCCATTGTCGGTGGCAATCTCCGCAGCCAGGAAAAGGACGCAAGGAGGCCGAAGGGTGGGGGCCAGTGGGTGGGCGGGGTTACATTCGGAGTATAAGACACATCCAAATTTTCAGCCTCTTTTAGGAGGGAAAAAAGTGCATCTTATACTCCGAAAAATATGGTATTTACTTTCCAGGAAGAGATTGAGTCACCCTGGACTTGTTGGTCAATCCGATCTTGAAAATCCGATCGTGATTCCTTTTACCAAGTTGTTGTGAAGATTTAGTGATAAAGAAAGGAACAGCTGAACTTCTTTAAAAGGTCTTCCAAAGGAGACAGGAAAAGGGATCAGGAAAAAGAAGAAGTTGCTTTTTGCCTAAAACTTTGTCCTCCAATCAAATCAAGCATTGAGAAACTTCCATTTTTTGGCACGGCTTGAAATTGCAAAGCGATTTCCTTCTTCAAAACAGCTGATCCTCACACGGTCTCCTTTTTTCTGAGTTAGGAGTCTCCAAACTTGGCAACTTTCAAGGCTTGTGGACATCAACTCCCAGAATTCCTTAGCCAGCAGGAGGAAGTCTAGGAGTTGAAGTCCACAAGTCGTAAAAGTTGTCAAGTTTGAAGGCCCCCTGCTCTCAGGAGTCAGCAAGAAGGAGAAGACTTGGGTTAGGCGTTTCTTGGCGTGACAAAGCCTGTGAGTCACTTTTGGCGTGGAAGGAAAGTTTTATTATTTGGGGAGAAGGTTCCTTATCTTGGAAATCTGGTTGATTAAAACAAACAAACAAATCTAGAAACATTTTGCGGTGTTCTTTTTATTTTTGGATCATTTCTTTTCCTAAGACGGGCGTCAGCAACCTACAGCTCTGGAGCCGCATGTGGCTCTTTCACCCCTCTGCTGTGGCTCCCTGTCACTCAAAATATTCTTCACAACCGCTAATGTGCGACACCCGCCAGCCCGCAATTTATTGAGCTTTTCAACTCCCAGTTAGCCCAACCATGGATAAATCCAAGAAAAGGAAAGTTTCAGAAGAAAACAACAGTTTAATTCAACTACATATGCTAGTTTTGTGGCTGCTCAAGAAATAAGTCAGGCACGGGAAGGGTTTTGTGGCTCCCGATGTTTTCTTTTCTGTGGGAAATGGATCCAAATGGCTCTTTGAGTATTTAAGGTTGCAGTCCTAAGAAATCAGGACTTCAGAATCAGCTTCTGAAACAAATATCCGGACTTCCATCTATCCCAGGTTTTAAAGGAACAGAAACTTCCTTTGATTGTATCTAATTCTGGACTCAGAAATTCACCGGTTTGCCAGCCGAGATATTTCAAAACAGGAGGAAAGCAGCTTAGAAACAGATGAAATCTCGGTGCTGCGGATTCCAATTTGTGGCGATCGTGTTTACCGAAGGGGAAAGGTTATCGCATTATCTCCCGAGGGGAAATTCACTTTTTGCGAGAAGTAGCTCTGAAAAGGGCTGTCGATAAAAACCAGTGAAACTCAGATAACACAAAATTGCCACAGGGAAAAAGAGAGAGAGAGAGAGAGAGAGAGGTGAACTTTGGTCTCGGAAGAGAGCTGGGTCAATCCAGAAAAAAAAAAATCAATTCTGGATTAGGGTGGATAGTGCCAGAGCAATCATACCACGCGTGAAATGCTTTAATACAAGTTTTATCTACAGTGGTTTGAAATGGGTTCTGCTTCATTGTGTTGTTGTTTTTTCGTCCACCTTTTAAAATTTCAGGTGTAGCTGCAGATTGAAATAGACAGAACAATCAATGGACGAGACTCTCTGCAGCTCTGGGTTGAACTGTGTGAGTCCATGGTGCGCTCTGATCTTGCTGTTTTCACGCAGGCGTTTTAGCTACCCAGCTGGGTAGCATCATCAGTGCAGCACTGAAGATGTTATGATAGAAGAGAATATTTTATAGTCCAGGATTGAATGCGTTGAATTGTGGTGTCCTTGATGCTATGTTTGCTGGTTATCTTGCAAATGTTTCATTATCAAACTAGGTTACACAGTCAGTGCTAGAAGGGAGTGAGGTTTGTGGAGTGAAGAAAGAGGAGGAGGAAAATAACTGTGGGATCCTTGAGGCTCTCTCAGCTTGGTGGTTTCTTGTAGACATTTCATTACCCAACTAGGTAACATTGTCAATGCTAGAAGGGAGTGGGAATTGCAGAGAGGAGGAGGAGGAGGAGGAAGAGGAGGAGGAAAATGACTGGGATCCTTGGTGCTCTCTGAGCTTGGTGATTTCTTGTAGACATTTCATTACCCAATTAGGTAACATCATCAGTGTTAGAAGGGAGAGCATTCAGAAAGCAAACCCCACTTCCTTCTAGCATTGACAATGTTACCTAGTTGGGTAATGAAACGTCTGCAGGAAAACCACCAAGCCCGGAGAGCATCAAGCCCTCCACTGAAGATACTACCTAGCTGAGTAATGAAACATCTGCACAGAAACAACCAAACGCAAAGAACAAGAAGAGCTCCTCGCATACCAGCTTTCTCCAATTCTCCAGAATTCCATTTGAGGTTAGGCTGGAGAAGGCTGGCCTGTTCCGTGTTTTCTCTCTAACAATGTTTGCGAAAAATAACACTCAACGTTGTGTTTGCTACCCCCTGCAGGTTGTGACCATCCCAATCAAAGCCATGTTGGATTCCAGAGGTTTTCCGTTGAATTGGAGATGAGCTCGGCGAGGAAGTAGCTGAAGATCCCACCTGGCAGAATGACCAAGGCACGGCTTTTCCGCCTCTCGGTGGTCCTCGGCTCCATTTTCATGATCTTGTTGATCATCGTGTATTGGGACAATGTCGGGACCGCACATTTCTACCTCCACACCACCCTCTCGAGGCCTCAGGGGGTGCTCCCCACAGCGGGGAAGGACAACCCAGCTTCTCTGCTGGAGATGGATGACTTTTTGGAGAACCTTTTAAATTCCAACCTGAAAAAGAACATGGATGTGGGCCGGAAGGCAGAGAAACCCAAGCCGCCCTTGCGTGCTTCAAGCAAACCCGGGGCCAGCAACTTGGAGGAGAACGTCAGAGGCTACGACTGGCCCACCCGGGAGACCAACATGGTGCTGGACCAAGCAAAGTTGCAGAAGGAGAGACGGCAGATGTTGCAGGACTGGTGTGCCAATTCCAGCTTCTCCTTCCCAACCAAGGAGAGGACCTTCGATGACATTCCTAACTACGAGCTCAACCACCTCATCGTCGATGACCGTCATGGCATCATCTACTGCTACGTCCCCAAAGTGGCCTGCACCAACTGGAAGCGGGTGATGATTGTCCTGAGCGAAAGCTTAATGGATCAAGGCGTCCCCTACGTTGACCCTTTGGACATTCCCCGCGAGAACGTCCACAACACCAGCACCCACTTCACCTTCAACAAATTCTGGCGCCGCTACGGCAAGTTCTCCCGCCACCTCATGAAGATCAAGCTCAAGAAGTACACCAAGTTCCTCTTCGTCCGGGACCCTTTTGTTCGGCTGATCTCGGCCTTCCGGAGCAAATTTGAGTTGGCCAACGAGGAATTCTACCGCCGGTTTGCCATCCCCATGCTCAAGCTCTACTCCAACTACAGCAGCCTGCCGACGTCGGTGAGCGAAGCCTTCGAGGGTGGTTTCCGCGTCTCCTTCTCAGACTTCATCCAGTACTTGCTGGACCCTCGGACAGAAAAATTGGCCCCTTTCAACGAGCACTGGAGGCAGGTGTACCGCCTGTGTCATCCCTGCCAGATTGACTATGACTTTGTCGGCAAACTGGAGACCTTGGATGAAGACGCCACGTACTTGTTGCAACTTCTCAAGGTGGACCATCTTCTCCACTTCCCTCCCAGCTACCGGAACAGGACAGCCAACAGTTGGGAGGAGGACTGGTTCGCTAAAATCCCCATGGCGTGGCGACAGCGGTTGTACAAACTCTACGAGGCCGATTTTGTACTTTTCGGATATCCTAAACCAGAAAACCTGCTCAAAAACTGAGCAAGAGCGAGGTGGAGGAGTGTCCCCCCCCAAATCCCAAAGAATCCTCCTTATTTGACGTCCCCCAAATCAGGGGGTCCCCCATTTCCAGGTCGTGGCCTGGGACTGGGCTGCGGCCTATTCAGAACCGGGCCACATGAGTAGAAGGTGAGTGTGCACACACAGCTCGATTTGCGTGAGCGGTGGGCACTCCCTCTTGTGCGTGCAGGAAGCTCCATTTGGGGGAGCAGCAGGTGTGCCCACTGCTCGCCCCAATGGAGCTTCACAAATGCGCATGAGTGCCCCTCACTCACGCAAATGGAGCTTCATGCACATGTGCGAGTGTTTGCCATTTGCACAAATGGAGCTTCACAAATGCTCACAAGTGCCCGTCACTCGTGCAAATGGAGCTTCACATGTGTGCGTGAGAGGCCACTGCTTATTCCAATCGAGCTGCGGGTGTGAGCATGCTTGCCGCTCACACAGAACCATTTCCTCCCCCCCCACCACCACCAGTCTGCAAAGCTGGAAAGGTTGGGGACCACTGCCCCCAAATAACAAGGTCGCTCTTGGTGGCTCTCCACAAGTGTCCCTTTTCCTCAGGGGTAAAATGTAAAATTTGTTACTACTGGTTCTGTGGGTGTGGCTTGGTGTGTGTGGGGGTAATGTGATGGTGGGCGTGGACAACTTTTTTAAAAAAAACTTTTCAAAGCATTTTTTCTACAACCTCTTCAAAAATGCTTTGAAAAGCCTCTGCCGATCAGGCAACACAGCTGGGATCGTCAGAGTGGCTTTTAAAGGCATTTTTTTCCCCTACAACCGCTTCGGCCGAAGAGGTTGCAGAAAAAAATGCTTTGAAAAGCCTCTGACGATCCCAGCTGAGCCGCGCGATCATCAGAGGCTTTTTTTTTTTTTTACTTTTAAAAGCATTTTTTCGGTGGAAGAGGTTGTAGAAAAAATGCTTTTAAAAGAAAAGAAAGAAAAAGCCTCTGATGATCGTGCAGCTCAGTTGGGCATGGTGGTGGTGGTGGTGGGGGGCACGCAGGGATTTTTGCTACCAGTTCTCCGAACCGCCTGCCGCCATCGCTACCGGATCGGGCGATCCGGTCCGAACCGGGAGCATTTCACCCCTGCTTTTTCTACAGCCTTTTACACACTGCTCGGTGGCGAGCTCCTGAAACCTTCCGCAGAAAAAGTTCTCGAACCCCCTCTTTGGTTTTTTTTGTCCAGTGTGACCTCTTTATTTTTGCCGTTGTCTTACGATCCGGTGGGTTCCGCCGCTGTTTTATGTTGATGCTTTTTCTCGGTGCGTCTAAAACAAATGGAAAGAAAGAATTAATATATTAAAGAAAAATATTTAATACGGAGCCTGCCTCGGGAAGGAAGAACGAAAAAGCGTGTCCTCTTTATGTTGTTTCTAGTCAACCTGACCCCCAACCCCAGCCCGGAAGGGTGGGATACGGTGAAAACAATGCTGCGTGTTTAGAGTCACAGATGGGAAAGCATCAGATTGATTCTTGGCTGTAGTTGTGTGTATAAATTTATTTATTTATTTACTTATTTACTTACTTATTTATTTCCTCCCTTTGTTTTTTACAAATAACCCAAGGTGGTGAACATATCCAACACAGCTTCCTTTTCCTATTTTCCCCACAACAACCCTGTGAGGTGGGATGGGCTGAGAGAGAAGGACTGGCCCAAAGTCACCTAGATGGCATTCATGCCTGAGGCGGGACTAGAACTCACCATCTCCTGGAGATTGGCCCAAAGTCAGCCAGCTGGCTTTCACGCTTAAGGTGAGACTAGAACTCACCGTCACCAGGTGATTGGCCCAAAGTCATCCAGCTACTGTATTTTCGTCTCTAAGGTAGGACTAGAACTCACCATCTCCTGGAGATTGGCCCAAAGTCAGCTAGCTGGCTTTCACGCTTAAGGTGAGACTAGAACTCACCGTCACCAGGTGATTGGCCCAAAGTCATCCAGCTACTGTATTTTCGTCTCTTAAGGTAGGACTAGAACTCACCATCTCCTGGAGATTGGCCCAAAGTCAGCTAGCTGGCTTTCATGCTTAGGGTGGGACTAGAACTCACCGTCACCAGGTGATTGACCCAAAGTCATCCAGCTACCGCACTTTTGTCTCTAAGGTAGGACTAGAACTCACCAACTCCTGGAGATTGGCCCAAAGTCAGCCAGCTGGCTTTCATGCTTAGGGTGGGACTAGAACTCACCGTCACCAGGTGATTGGCCCAAAGTCATCCAGCTACCGTACTTCTGTCTCTAAGGTAGGACTAGAACTCACCATCTCCTGGAGATTGGCCCAAAGTCATCCAGCTGGCTTTCATGCTTAGGGTGGGACTAGAACTCACCGTCACCAGGTGATTGGCCCAAAGTCATCCAGCTACCGTACTTCTGTCTCTAAGGTAGGACTAGAACTCACCATCTCCTGGAGATTGGCCCAAAGTCATCCAGCTGGCTTTCATGCTTAGGGTGGGACTAGAACTCACCGTCACCAGGTGATTGGCCCAAAGTCATCCAGCTACCGTACTTCTGTCTCTAAGGTAGGACTAGAACTCACCATCTCCTGGAGATTGGCCCAAAGTCATCCAGCTGGCTTTCATGCTTAGGGGGGACTAGAACTCACCGTCACCAGGTGATTGGCCCAAAGTCATCCAGTTACCGTACTTTCATCTCTTAAGGTAGGACTAGAACTCACCGTCTCCTGGTGATTGGCTCAAACTCTCCCAGCCGGTTCCATTTTTTTTTTCATTTTAAAAAATGCTACAAATATGCCAAAAGTTTTATTTTGAAAGGTGTTTGGAAAAAGACCGCAGGGGAAAAAAAAACCATTAACCAGGTTCACTGGCCTTCTAAACCATGGCTTCCTCTGTCAAAGCATAGTACGAAGTGTGCGACAGTCTCGATGGACTTTGCAAGGGACCAACTGTCTCAGGCCACAATTGTTGGTGAAGAACCCATCCTAGTGAAGGATCTCTCTAACCTGGGTTTCAACAAACCATCCCATGATCTTTAAGCCTGTTTCCCAGGAATTGCTGGGACCCGATCTCTTCACAGCTTTGCGGAATCCTGGTCTACAGAAAAACACAAGCAGAGATTCTTTGGGGCAACCAATCTTAAAAGCACTGTTTTTGAGTCTGTTCAAAGATAGTTCCGCAGAAGCTGGGAGTTTAGAAGACCCCAACATTGGTAAAATAAACCCCCCCCACCCCAATTGCCACTGGATATCTCAGCCATTAGATATCAAGAGCCGAGGTGGCGCAGTGGTGAGAGTGCAGTACTGCAGGCTACTTCTGCTGCCTGCCGGCTGCCTGCAATTTGGCAGTTCAAATTTCACTGGCTCAAGGTTGACTCAGCCTTCCATCCTTCCGAGGTGGGTGAAATGAGGACCCAGATTGTTGGGGGCAATAAACTGACTCTGTAAACCGTTTAGAGAGGGCTGTAAAAGCACTATGAAGCGGTATATAAGTCTAAGTGCTATTGCTAGTCCCTTCCTTTCTTCCTTCCTTCCTTCCTTCCTTCCTTCCTTCCTTCCTTCCTTCCTCACTCACTCACTCACTCACTCACTCACTCACTCACTCACTCACTCCCAGAGATTAGAATGCACTATTGCAGGCTAATTCTGCCCACTGCCAGAAGTTCGATCTTGACCAACTCAAGGATTGACTCAGCCTTCCATCTTTCCGAGGTGGGTGAAATGAGGACCCAGATTGTTGGGGGCAAGAGGCTGACTCTGTAAACCGCTTAGAGAGGGCTGTAAAAGCACTGTGAAGCGGTATATAAGTCTAAGTGCTATTGCTATTGAGCTCCACCTTGGAATGTGTTGGCCGTTTTAAGTGCATTCCTTTTAACACTTGCAATTCCAGTTATGTAAACATTGCACAGAATTTGGAATTCGGCAAGCGTCCCCCTCCCTCTTCCTTCATCCTCCCCCCACTCCCAATTTTGTGGAAGGAGACCCCAAGTCTTCCTCCTGCAATATCCCTGGAGCCAGGAAGAACTAGATTCTTCATAGCTCCTGAGCAGCTTCAACTCTCCGCATGAGGAGCAGCTGATAGTAAGACATATAAATCTGCCCTTTTGCAGTTTTGCTTTTGCTGCCAAAATCTGGAATGTGTGACTCACTCTTGGAGAAAAACAAGGCAAGGGCCTTGTCAGGTTTTTGCAAGGAAAAGATAAACAAGGGTAGATTGCCAAAAAGCCATCCTGAATATATTCATTTTTGACAGTCTTGTCATTTTTCGACACGAGGCGGAAGAAACCGGGAAAAAGCAGAGAGAGTGTGTGTTGTTGTTGAAGCAAAATTAGGAACTGTTCTTGGGCTAAGGAATGTGGCAAACAGGAACAGTTTGAAATATCTTGGGTAGAAAAGGTCTGGAAATCCTCAAAAGGGAACAACATGTTTCTGTGTAGTTACTATTCATCGGTCTTAATGTAAAAATTTATAACCAGAGAATCTGGGTGTTTTCCAGATCTTTAAAAGAGGCCTGGCCCTCAACACTTCCAAGTTTCAGGAATGAGAGAAGCAAAGTCACCAAGAATCCAGAAGATGTTCTCCTGAAGTTCTTCTTTGGGCCACCAGTGTGTATCAAGTGAACTCAGGACCTTGGGAGGTGGGTTGGAGGTCCAGTGAGGTCCTTTGGACCAGAGTTCCACACCTGTTGGGACAAAGCAACAGGAAGGTCTACCACAAGAAACTAGGAACCGAGAATCTTCTACCCATTCAATCTCCGAGTGAATGTTTTCAGTGGCCAGGTGAGATGCCTTCTCCAGGAGCATCCCAAATAAGCAACCTGTCAAACGTGAATGTTTACATCACTCTTCTGTGAAAAAAGAACCCTTTAGGGCATTTAAAACTTCCTCCAATGGCAAGCCACCATCAACTCGGTCTATTGCCTAAAATTGATGAGGAGGTTCTGCCCAGGAGCGAAAGGCAGATAGATAAGTTGAGGTGGGTGAGCCTAGAAAAATAAAATATGGATTTAAGAGAAGGAGAAGGAAAAGGAAAAGGAGGAGGAGGAGGAGGAGGAGGAGGAGGAGGAGGAAGAGAAGAAGAAGAAGAGGAGGAGGAGGAATAATAATAAAATAATAATAATAATAATAATAATAATAATAATAATAATAATAATAATAACGGGAACATAATGTGGAAAAAGTTATAGAAAATGAGAAGGTGAAGATCTTGTGGGACTTTCGAATACAGACAGATCATCACTTGGAACACAACACGTCAGATATCACAGTTGTCGAAAACCGAAACATACAATTTATTGACATCGCTGTACCAGGAGATGCCAGAGTCGAATAAAAAGAACTGGAAAAAAATCACAAAATATCGCGACCTGGCCATCGAAACTACATGGCTATGGGTGAAACGTGTAACAGCGATACCCATTGTCATCAGGGCACTTGGTACCATGTCCAAGAATTTTATAACATACATCAGCAAATTGCAGCTTCCTGCAATAACACCAGCGGAACTGCAAAAAAACTGCGCTACTTGGAACATCGTACATCTTAAGAAGGTACTTGATTGATACCTAGAATGCTGGCAGCAACCTGTATCAACTATTAGCACCAGTCAATGGTATTTGTAAAGCATCTTTAAATGTCCAGTTGACTGAGTTTCATATTTAATGAATAAAGGACAATAATAATATATTTTAATAATATATATTTTAAGAAGATGATTGATACCTCGGATGCTGGCAGCAACCCCTATCAACCATTAGCACCAGTCAATGGTATTTATGACACATCTTTAAATGTCCAGTTGACTGAATTTCATATTTAATGAATAAAGACAATAATAATATATTTTAATAATATATATTTTAAGAAGATGATTGATACCTCGGACGCTGGCAGCAAACCCCTATCAACCATTAGCACCAGTCAATGGTATTTATGACACATCTTTAAATGTTCAGTTGACTGATTTTCATGTTTAATGAATAAAAGAAATAGTAATAATAAAAAAGGGGGAGGAGATTTATAGCGGTGTTAACCCGTGTTGTTTTCTTGCATCTGTTGGAATGCAGACATGAACGAAGGTTTTGGAACAAGCCTTTGTTTGCACTGGATGTTTTCTGCCATGGAAATACGGGCGGGGTTGAAGCAGGGCAAGTGAGCCAAAACGACACAAGGAAGCGTTGAACCAGGCCAGCCGTCTGTGGGGGACGAGCGCTGTGAAAACAAGCATTGACCTCAGCTATCCCCAAAATATCCCTTTGGGCTTTTCTTCCCCTTTAGAGCTCCTGGTGTAGAGGGAAATGAAAAGGGGGTTTGTGAAAAAGACTAACCAAAGGAAACTTCGAAGCATCTGGAAAAGTTAAGAAGGGGAGCTTCTGAATGACATATTTACAGG